AACATGGAAAACAACTCGTAGGTTGAGTTAGGGCAGTTTGCTAAAGCCAAAGCAAAAGGTTGCAAGTGCACAAGCAAGTGATGTCCAGCCACTTCCTGGGAAGCAGGGTTTCAGCATGTGTAGTGGTTGCTCTGGAAGGCAAATTAATTCCCCCTCTTCCTCCTCCTTTTCTTAGCTTTTATATATGAGTTTATGCCATATGGTATGGAATATCCCTTTTGTCAATTTGGGTCAGCTGGCCTGGTTGTGTCCCCTCCCAGGATCTTGCCCACCCCCAGCCTTTTGATTGGGGTGGAATTTTGGAGAGACAGCGTTGATGCTGTGCCATCACTGCTCAGCAGTAGCCAAAACACTGGTGTGTTATCAACACCTTTCTAGCTACTAATGCAAAGAACTGCACTGTGAGGGCTGCTATGGGGAAGATGAACTCCATCTCAGCCTGACACAATACATATACACATGAGAGAAAGGGAGTAGCTAGTGGAGTAATTACACTGAAATTGGGACCACATCAGAGGCCCTGTAAGGGTAGAAGACCTTCCGGAAGAATTATGGCGAGGAGATCAGAGTTTGTTTCACTTAAGAAAGCTTTCCTGCTTAAAAGAGGCATCTTTCCGCAGAGACAGTTTTAGATGTTTTCTCCTCCTGCATTCCAGAGAAATGCTCCCTGGTATGAGAAAAAGATAAGTCCTGCAGATTTGTCGAAGGCTCCCATGGGGGTGGGGGGGGCAGAAATTATAAAAACCCTGAGAAGAGCAGTGGGTGTGTCTTTCTCAGGCCCGGTGTTTGAAGCGCTGTTAGGATTAATGTTCTAAGTCTAGTGTTCTCAACTTTGGAAATAAATTTTCCTACAATCCTTCCACTGCCTGGCATTTCTGGGGTACTTGCATGTTATCTTACTTCACAGGCCCATAGCATATTATTCAGCTAAGTTAGATCCTGCTGTATCCTCAGCGTATTAGGGCTATAGCCCCAGCAGCTGAGTAGGTAGAAAAGAAGTGTCCTTTGATTTTAGGACATCAGTTAAATGTACTTGTGCCACATGAGGTGGGAATATTGTTGAAACAATATGCAGCTCAGGCCCTATTACCACAAAGAGCTCATGTGTATGAGCTTATTTTGCTGATGGCAGACAATAATTTTAAGGTGTTGTAATCCCTTCAACCCTGCTACACTTGCTGTTGCCAGAAGATGGTACTCCACACCATGATTGTGGAAAAATCATTATGACAACTAGCAAACCAGGGCAGGATTTAAAAGATGAACCTATGTTAAACCCTGATTTAACTTTGTATGTGGATGGATCCTCATATTACCCGAATGGAAAGTGTGTCACGGGATACATGGCTGTGGACAATAAGAAGAAATAAGTGCACAAGGTACAGAACTGATAGCCCTTACACAAGTTGTGAAACAAGGTAAAAACAGGCGAGTGAATATTTATACTGATTCACGATATAGTTTTGGAGTGTGTCATGCTGTAGGGATGTTATGGAAGGAGAGAGGATTTCTAACTAATGCAGGAAAAGAGGTGGCAAATGGAAAAGAGGTAAAGAAACTGCTAGAGGCTATACACTTACCAGAGCAAATATTGGTGATACACTGTGTGGTCCATACCCTTTAGGACAATCCAGTTGCCCGAGGAAATGCCCTGGTCAATGACGCAGCAAAAGTAGCCACACACCAGGTACTGGTTTTTATGCCCATGTCTCCGAATTTGGAAAGACTGAACTTACCAGGTATAACTGAACTATATGAAGAGGTAAGCCCAGAGAAGAAAATCAATTGGGAAAAGTGGGAACCAGTCTAAGAAAAGATGGTGTGTGGACAATAGGAGGAAAGACTGTTTTACTGAAAAAATATTTATTGGTCATTGCTAGATGGTTCCACAATAAATCTCACAGTGGACCAGAAAATGTCGCAAACCAAGTGCAACGAATGTGGGCAGCACCAGGAATTTATGCCGCTGCAAAAAGGATTGGGGAGGAACGCAAAACTTGTCAGCAATTTATTGTTACCAAGACCCCTGAGCATAAGGGTGTATGACCCCCGGCATGCTTTCCTTTTCAGAAGTTACCAATTGGTTATGCAGATGTGCCATCATCATTAGACTATAAGCATTTGTTGGTAATAGTGGACCAGTTAACAGAGTGGGTAGAAGCTTTTCCTACCCAAAAGGCAGATTCAGGAACTATGGCAAAAATTTTACTGAAGGAAATCATTTGTAGGTATGGAGTACCAGAAGTAATAGATTCAGATAGAGGCTGACATTTTGGAGCAGCTATATGCATTCAAGTATTCAAGGCATTGGGGATTTTACAACAATTGCATACTCCTTACTACCCCCAATCATCAAGGAAAGTAGAGAGGATGAATAGGACAATCAAAGAAAAATTAACCAAAGTATGCATGCACACAGGATTAAAATAGCCAGAGGCTCTAAATCTAGTTTTATGGGACATAAGAAATGCGCCCAAGCAACCAAAGTTTTAATAAGATAGAAAGAGGCAGCCCAAATCTATCTCATGATCATGAAATTACAAATCTTAGGACTCTGTCTATGGTGGGATCAGATGCCTGCTCAGTTGGTGCTAAGAAAAAAATCTAGGAGCCCGTTAATTAGGGTGAGATAAGGAAAGGGTTTAATAGTGCCAAGGCAATTGATGGTATACGACGCGCGCGCAGGCTGTGCCTGAGATGTTACAATATATAACAATATCTGGCCAATCCCAAGTGTGTCCACCCCACAACTTTTGGCCTGGTCCACCCCCTGGCCCACCCCTTAGAAATTGGGTCTGGGATGCATTTTGGGACCCTCTCTTCATCACCTTCATCATCTTCGGGGTACAGAGAGCAGAGTCACCCAGTTCTTTGACTCTGTCCTGCAGTTTAGGCCAATATACAAGCGTTCCCCAAACAGAACAGGGTTGCCTTGACAAGAGACAAAACATCTTCTACTGGTGTTGCAGGGTTCAAATTGTGAACAATTTCCATTGCATTTCTGTAGGCCTTGCTTGACATGACTAGAAGCTGTAAGCTGTAATGTTTATGCTTATAGACTGTGTGAAAATATGCAATGTTTATACTTGTTAGCTGTGTGTCTAATTATAAGGTTTGAGA